AGGCCACCAGATCCCCCTAGCGGAATAGAGCCTTTGGCCCCATATTTGTTACTGGACGCGGCTGCTCACAGAATCTTAGCTAAAACCTTGAACAGCAACCAGATTTACACAAACAATTATCCAGTAGAGGACGCTTTCCTTCCCGAGTCCAATATGGCACATGGCGTTAGTTTCACGAGTTCAACACTTTTTCCTCTCTAACTTTTGATTGGCGCATAGGACAATGCTCAAGTTTAGTCGAGTGATAGAAATAAGGGGTATGGGGTAAACTATGCCTAAAAGGGTATTTTTTTTCGTTTCTTTCTTTCCTTTTTCGACGATTTTTTGATATCGACCAATCAGATTCGTCGATTTGATTGAAATTAATAATTAAGACCACACTTTTTAATCGATTTTGCGTTTGGCCTACCTAGTTCTTACGCGAGCCACCACATGAAAATTACAATTTGCGAGAAAAGAAGAATAGCCAATTTACAAAGGAATCCTAAACTGCTCAAGATTGGGATTGGTTGATTTAAACTACAGCTTTGAATGTGATTGGCTTATAGGGGAATCCTTGCTTGCAATATTTGCCTCATTAGCATCAGCAATTCAGTTTATGATGGAGCTACAAATAAATCAGTTCTGAATATTGGAAGGTCGTAGTACGATTAAACCTGCCAATGAATACGAGCCTGATGTGTTGAATACTTTCTGTGCAACACGGGTTTAAAAACTCAAAATTTTATAAAGAATGTATGACCTCATTAGCGCTTTTGCCACCCAGACATTTTGCAGTTTTTGAAAGACAATATCTCCTTGAATACTACACCCAAAGATCTAAAAATTTCACCGTGTGTTAGGTTTCACTAGCTCTTTAGCTGCCTGGAGTCAATTCTTATCTAACAAGTTTCCTTCTGTACGCAAAGCCGTATGCAAGTGTGCAAAAAAGTAAACAATGACTTCAGCATGAATCTCCCTATTGAACTGTCTGATAACAAACTGTCCGATAACAACTTGGGAAGTGAATTAGTGGAAAATAGGATCAAACCAGTCACATTGATTAAGAGCAGAATTAAAGGGTGTATCTTAACTTTTAAATACCGATCAAATGTAGACAAGTCACAACCGAACGTATCTTCTTTAGTTTTAATCTGGAATTTAATCGTCTCAGTGATATCTGAGACGTTTGTTATACATGACAGCAATTAT